ATCTGAAACTTCCAGTCCCAGATCTGCCCTTTGGTAGCTGGGGAATCTTGGGTAAGTTGCGCTTTCTTCCTGTCGTGGTTTCTTTATATGCAAAAAGAAGAGATTAGGATCACAGGATTTTTCACCATCTTTTCTAGCTCTGAAAAACCCATGATCTACAGATCAGACACTGAGAATCTTCCAATGCACGTGTTGCTATTTTGGGAACCACAAGTATTCCTTTCACCGTTCTCATGCCATTATTTTGGATGGATGGAGACCAGAATTGTATCTTACAGGTGTCAGGCTTGGTGGCGCACATCTGTAATCCAAGCAACTCAGGAGGCTGAGGTGGGAGGATGGCAAGTTTGAGGCCCACCTAGGTAAATTGGCAAGACCTTGTCTCGAAATAAAACTAAAAGGGCTGGGGACGTGGCTCAGAGGTGGAGTGCCCTGGGTTGAAACTTCAGTACCGAAATATAAAAGAGAAATAAAAACCAAAGTGCTCCCTAATGTATGTCCTCCAGCTCTCTCCACTTCCATCTTCTTGCTCAGAAATTCCAGTTTCCATGAGCACGCTGTTTTTATATTATTATCATTATTTATTTATTTATTTGTGTGGTGTTTATCAGAGATGGAACCCAGGTCCTTGCATATGCTAGACAAGTGCTCTGCCACTGAGCTATACCCCCAGCCTCATTATTCCTTAGTTACATTGCTGCTTCATGTTGCTTCCCAAGTTGAGAATTTGGGGGCTCTCATTTCCTATCTCCCATTTCAGTATTTTAAGTGGGAACCAGAGTACCCTTTTTGCACCTGGTAGGTAGATGTGCAGAAAAATAAAAAGACACACCAATTTCTTCTGGGCCTTCTGTTCCCTTAACTAGTAAAGAAATGAATGGTGTACTCTCTCCTTTCGACAAGGTTAGGGGGAGTGTACATGGGCCCAGGAAAGTCAGCAAAAGGGCATTTGCAAAATTGCCTTATTATCTTGTTGTTTCCCAGGAGCAAACACATGACTTTCCATCCTGAGGTTGTAGAGGTATAGGCAATCTGCCCTGGAAGTATGTCACTCAATGTACTACTTGTTGTGAAGTCAACAAGAAAAAGGAAAATGTTTAAAGGAGAAACTTCACCTTTCTAAAAAAATATTTTAAAACCACAATTTTGCAAAGTGCTAGGGTGGGGGCTTGGACTGCAGGGTTCAGGAATGTCTTACAGGTCATGCCAGAAGGAAAAGGAGTCTTGCTAAAAGTGGTGGCAGGTAGGCTCCATCCAACAGGTGGCCCACAGCAGAGACATGTTTCTTGAATTGCAGGTCATGCCTCATTAGTGGGCTGTGACATGAATTTAGTAGGTCATGACCAGAAAAGTCCTTTTTTTTTTTTAAGTGAAGTAAATTATGCGAAAGCAGAATAAACTAGAAAATATTGGAGTACATGGCATGTAGGTCACGTATCATCTAACAAAATTGTGATTTAGGGGTGTGTCTAAGGTGTAAGTGTGTGTAAGAGAGTTTGGTACACCATGTTCCAGTGTAAAGTATATTTCCCACTGCAGGACACAGAAAATGTGGAAGTGACAACATTGGAGATGTCTTGTGATGCTGGCATCTCAAGACTGACGAAGTAAATTCACAAATGAAAAGAAATTCTTCCTATGGGAATATTCACCTCCCAACTCTGCCCAATTACTCTGGATTCTACTTTTTGTTCTTGACAAAATAGTTAAACGGAATAATTCCTGTTCAATATAAGCCAAGGCAATGGTAAAGTGGGTTCAAGATAGTGTCTCTACCCTGTTGACAGTTCCACCCCAAGTAGAGGCCTCCTGATATTTGTAGGGTGTTTTTTCCTTTGCTTTTTTTCCCCTGCTCAGACAGTATTCTCTCCCTAGCAAAGCAACACCAAGAGCCAGCTTCACACTTAGGAGAGGATGTTTCATTTCCTCCTCATGGTTTCCAATATTCAGCCAGATCAGAGAAACTTTGCTAGTAACAAACTATAGAAATGATCCCTAAAAATTATAGTCTTCTTTTTCAACACATGTTCCCATGAAACACTGATAACTCCATCAAACACCTGTATAAGGACAGGCAATAAGCCATACATGATGTAATCCCAAGCACTCAGGAGGCTGAGGCAAGAGGATCATAAGTTTGAGGCCAGCTTCAGCAAGTTAGTGAGGCCCTAAGCAACTTGGTCAGACCTATCTCAAAATAAAAATAAAAAGTTGTGTATTGCGTGTATGTACGTATATGTAACGACAAATGCCAATAGCATGTACAACTATGAAGCACCAATATAAACGTGGGCAGGGAATAAAAAATAAAAAGGTTTGGGGATGTAGCTCAGTGATAAAGCACCCTGAGATCCAATCCCCAGTACAGGAAAAACAAAATAAACAAACAAACAAACAATAACAACTGATAATCAGCTGCAAGGTGTAGCTCAGTGGTAGAGTGCTTGCCTAGGACACATCAAGCCCTGGGTTCAATCCCCAGCACCATTTTAAAAATAAAGGAAAAATGACTGACAGTTCTTTAAAAGCCTCTGCTCCCATAGGCATTTATGTTTTAGTCAAATATTTAATCTCATGCCATATAAAAGAATTTCATAGAATTCAGCTGCAGAAGGAGGAAAATTAGAGAAAAGGAATACATTCTCAGCATTCTTGAAGTCCTACCTGTGGCTAGCTATGTTCACTATGTAAATATCTTTTTCACATGCAAATAATTTTTATTTATTTCCTCATTGATTTGTGAAATGTTATCTTTACTGTCTTTACTTTAAAAACAAAATAATTATGGAAATATCGCAACTCTAAGAGGAAATATTTTATTTTATCAAACTTTGTATTAATCTTATACCCAACTTAGTCCTTATCAAATTTTAGTCTTTAATTTATATATATATATATATAATGTATTTTAATTTTTATTTATTTATTTTGTGGTTGTAGATGGACAGAATGCCTTTATTTTATTTGTTTATTTTTATGTAATGATAAGGATTGAATCCAGTACCTCATACTAGGCAAGCACTTTGCCACTGGGCTACAGTCCCAGCCCTCCTTAATTTATATTGATTGATGACTGTTAATTATGATACAATTATATGATGCTGTAATACTTGGCAATATTATTTCCCACTGTCATACGAAGACACGACACCTGCTTGTTTTCTTGCCTGAATAAGCCCATATTACACAAAGAACTCAACTTTTCATGCAACAATTAACTTTTAAAATGTACCACTTTACTGAGTAGGTAGTATATGCCAAACTCCCAGGATTAGGGTACTTTATACCTATAAATTCTCATTTTTTTCTTTGCAAACCCTCCTCCAAGTAAGGTCAATTATTTTCTACTATTCCATAGACGCCACATTCACAACTTTACAGATGAGAACACTAAGGCTCAGAGACGGACAATGCCCATGAAGACAAGATTATTAATTCCGATCAAGTCCATCTGATTGCAAAGGCTGTGCTTTCATGGTTTTTATGTCACCTAATCTTTCAGATGTATCTGGAATTATTTTCATCACCTCACCTGCTCTTCTAAGGACGTGGTGGTGAATGTCTGAACACCAGGAAAGCTGTTTTTATTGTTTTTTGTTTTTTAAATGAAGAATGTTCTGCTGAATGTAGAACAGCTGCAAACACTACATACTCAGAAATATCTGGCCAGATGGTGAGAACTGGATGCTTTCTGCTTGCCCTCTGTAGCCTGGTATCTCCGCCTTCAGCTGTCTTTCAGTCTAGCAATAAAGGATGTGAAAATATCCAGCATCTTTTAACAGCATGCTAAAGATATTTTATTAGATCTATTCAGATAACTTTTTTGTTTCCATGTGCAAACAACGGTACTTTAAGACTTCTATGAAAAACATTATTTTCCACTTGCAAACAATTTCCACATCCCCTAGTCCTTCTGTCTACACAGACCATATTTTACAGTAACCCTTTAAATAAAAAATCAGCTTTGTCTCTCTGCTCTCAGATTTTTAAATTTCCAATGCCTCAGGTAATCAGAAGCCACAGGTATTTAGCAGCCACATCTCTCACGAAAGCAAAAGGAAGACGTTGATTTCATAGTAGAATATACTGAGAAATCAAATCCAGGGTTCTCTTTAAAATCAGAAATGAAACCCCTAGCCACCAGATTCAGACTCCAAACTTCTAAGTGACTCTGCCACATTAATTCGGTCTTTAGTTTCAGGAAATAAAATAATCACGTAGTTAAACATAGATCCTTATGCAAACAAGTACTATGTTTACAATGTACCAATCCATTAAAATCAGCAGCAGACATACATTCTGAGAACTAAAACCTGGGACACATAGGCTAGCAATCATCATTAGCTCATTCCCCCATCCAATGGCAGTAAACATCCTATTGGAATCTGCTCCGAAAACAAAGGCTTTACTAACCTAATGTCAAGGTAAACAGGTAGTAAATACCTACTTGGTAGTATAACCAGTGGTATCACATTTGCATTCTTTAGGTTCTAAACACAACTAAATGTTGGCATTTTTTCCTTTGAAAGCTACTTTCAGGATAACACCATTATAATAGAGTTCATAATGGGGTAACTTGAAAAAACAGCATACTAAGCACCACTTGACATTAACATCTTTAGCCAACATTAAAATATTTTAGCCACAAACTATCTGAGATAGACGGAATAAACATATTATGGTATACAGAAAAAAAACCAAGTTTCCTATATTTTATGTTAAAAGTCATTCACCCCAATTAAGAGCTACACAGAATAATTACAAATGTGTACCACTGTGCCCAGCTTATTGTCAGTCTTTATACCATTGTTCAATGCAATAAATAGTCCTAAAGTGAAGCTACAATAAATAGTCCTAAAACACAGTTATAAAATATAGCTACTTCAAATCACCCAAAGAAGAAAAGGAAAAAGTACTTTCAGCCCCAAGAATATATTCACTGGGAAGAGAGTTAGGTCTCCCTTGGAAGGGATATTGAGTTGTGAGAGCAGAGGGCATACCTTAAGTTCTCTGAAGAAGATACTACTCCTGGCCCACTCCACAATGGAGAAGAGGGTTTGATCCGCCATTTTGCACATCAGCCCAAATGTGCTCAGCTTTTCGTGCTTGCTTCGGTTAGCCTGCTCTTGCTGCAAATAGGTCATGATTTTGGCTTGAACTTGAGGCTCATCAGGCTCACACTTCAAAAGTTCCAGTATCAGGTGTGGAATGCTTGCCGGGGAGCTTGTCTGGTAACTATCCATATAGGAATAGCCCATTATTGACTCAGGTGAGCTGGTGTAGGGGTCTGGGTACTCAGACTTGATGGCCCGGCTAGGAAAGTGGCCATATGCTTGGTAACCTTGCAGGCTGCCATGAGGTGGCATTGTCATGCTAATGGGGGATGTTACAAAGGGACTTCTGTCATAGTCTGTAGGAGGCAAGGCAGCATGGTTCAGAGGTAGGCCTTTGGAGGCAGAATGGATGTTCTGAATGGCAGAAGAGATGGTCAGGTCAGAGGGCATCGCTTGGATCACCTGAGACATGGCTTCCAGTTTGAGTCCATTGGCTCGGATGAGGGCTTTTTTCTGTTGCTTCAGGGCCCTGTCTCTCTTGTACATTGGTCCAAACTTATTCCTTCCTCCGCGCATTCGATCGGCCCTTACCGCTTCTAGCTTCATTCCAACACTTAGACATTTTTGAAATCGACAGTAAGGACAACGTTTTCTCTGTGTTTTGTCAATTTGGCAGTTCTGGTTTTCTATACAT